ATCTTAAGGTATATACGGGATTCCAATCAGATCTATCATACATCCAAACCGGAGACCAAAACCAGCAAGTGACCATACCACGACGACCAGGACGACGAGAAGAAGAGATCGTCGTCGAGATCGCCGCCAGCCGCCGCCGCACGCGCCGCCACGCGCCACCGGAAGGGAGCAGCTTCTGGAACTCAATCGCCCGTGTGAGAGCGCGTGGAAGCTTCATTTTCCGACCGGTCAATGCCGTTGACTTTGCCGTGACGTCAGCTTTCTGGATTGGTCAAGTTTGTTCGATTCCGAGAAGATTTGATTTGCGGTCAACTGTTCGGGCCATCCAGATCTACATAAATTTTAAGCAGTAAGTTTTCTACATCAAACCTTTAGATCCACAGCGCATAGGTTTATGTTGAATGTTTGTCCGTGATTTGTGCATATCGAGATCCTCGTGGGTTCCAACAATTGGTATCAGAGACAGGTTAATCAGTTATGTACAAGATCCGGATTAAACTGCTTATATTGTCTATGTTTGCTCAAGCGCAGCCATATATATTAGATTATATGCATAACTTGGTTTTGCAGGAAATAGTGAATCCACTATTATGGCCACCCTTTTATGTGCTTTTGCTTAATTGATGGTTGGTTGTATGGTTTTAAATTTGTTTTTAAAGCCTCGGGATTGTCGAGGAATTATGGATGAATGCTTGTATTAATTGCCCGGGGGTTGACCGGATAGTTTAATTAATTAATAGAAGGCATGTACATCCACTCGCTGGATCTAGGAATCGATCTATGTAATTTTGTTAATTATATTTTTCGAATTGTGATCGACCGTTGGAGACTGGGCCTTTACAAAGATCCAAAGAGACTCGACAAAGCAAGGAAGAAACCGGAGCCGGGATCCAAGGCTGGCCGGCGCGGCCGCGGCTTCTACTGGTGGAGGTTTTGTGGAACTTGCAGTACAAGTCAACCGGGATTCTACTGCAGTGGGAGTTTCAGTTAGTTTAGGAAAGAGATCCTAATCCAAGGAGAATAAATATTTAATTGGCCATAATAGTGGATATTTATTTATGGCATTAATTATTTATTTGTTTATTTATGCATGAGAATAATTGTTGCCTTGTGTGAATAGAATTATTTAGAATTGCATATATATATATATTAAAAATCCTCATTTAAAATACTAAGTTGAGAAGGATATTTAAAGTTAAGATAATTTTAAATTCCTAAGGCCTCCATTTCTAATTCGTTGGTAAATCAATTAATTGATATTGTGGGCTTCCCCGAGGATGACATTACTTGAAAATTAATTGAAGGATAATTACCAGAACGAATTTCTCCAAGTAAGAGAACAATCCCAACAGCTTGGAATTGCGTCCGCCCCTCTCTCTCTCTCTCTCTCTCTCTCTCTCTCTCTCTCTCTCTCTTCCTAGGAGTAGTTCTATTTCTTGTGCTCCATTGATACAAGATCTCTCTCTCTCTCCAAGTAATAGAACAATCCCAACAACACTCTCATTCGATTTCCTCTAACCGTCTAAATTTAGAAATTCATTCTGATAATTATCCTTCAATTAATTTTCAAGTAATGTCATCCTCGGGGAAGCCCACACTATCAATTAATTGATTTACCAACGAATTAGAAATAGAGGTCTTAGGAATTTAAAAATTATCTTAACTTTAA